GTTTTCTAAGTTGAGTGTCTTCCTGTATATTTAGGTGAGGTTTATTCCTGCGTAGCTGTCTGGGCTCGAGTATTTAGATTTAGTTATCTGTATTCAGATGTCAGAATCGGGGTTGTTTTTTTGTTCATGTGTGTAAAACTACACGTTCAGTTTTTATATGATTATGAGTCTACTTATCTAAGTACATGGGTGTTTCCGGGTGTTCCTGGGTGCGTGTGTAGGTGTTTCTGGGTGTCTCACAGAAGTAGTTCTGTTTCCAGGCCTCTCGTTCACCGCCACTCACTAGTCACTTCTCATAATCACTCTGTATTCTCCCACCATTGTTCATTCTGCGCTCTTCCCTCCCTTATCTGTCCAACATCTTGTTAGTTTTTCCCAACCTGTCATCGACTCGGACTACTTATTAACACGTGATCAAGGCTTTCTCTATTGTAATTTCTCTATTGGCATTTTTTGCCCAAATTTTTAGTTAAAGTCATTGTAAAACATAAATAATTACCTAATCAATTAAAATTGTAAAAAAAATTAACTGATTCCGTCTGTGATCCAAATGTTGTTGTTGTGTTCAGCTACCGGTTTCGAGGTTATAACCTCTTCTTCAGGCTCTTGATGTCACTCTTGCGAGATCGTCGAGTTTTATAAACACCATGGACACTAACATTTAAATAAATAAACACGACACATACTGACGGACGGTCAACATTAATTCGTGAACTACTGTAGTTCCACACACGACGCGGCATGGCAGACGTTTTATCATTACAGACGGAATCAGGTAATTTATATCATTTTTATATTCAAGAAGTGATCCTGGGCCAATGAATATCAATATAAACCTAATCAATCACAGAGACACTATTAAACATATACTTTATTTATACAAACTTTAACACTAAAAAACAACTTAGAACTCCAAATATACAGAAAATAGCATTGTAAGCATATTTGTACAAGTACAAAACAATCGTTTAAAAAATTTAACATGCACTTGACCCACTTGACCTATCTCGACGTTCCATATTCGGAAGGCCTCGCCAAGTGGAGGGTGGCGGGTAACGGGCCCAGCGGCGGCGAAGCGGCGATGTGGCTGTAGTCAATACATCATAGTCAGTATACACAATAAACATGTCCAACTGTCCAACGGCCACTCTAATTATCCAACTCGTGATCTATGGATCCTCTCCTCCATCTTCCGTAGTCTATCCGGCGAAACAGAACTGCCAGCACCCTCATCCTGGCTGGAAACAGCTGATCGTAGTCAGTTACAAAGCTACACAAGGTATCTCAACATTCTACACTCACACTGAAATATTATTCTGTTAGAATTGGTCCTCTCTAAATGTTGGGGTTCTGTCTAAAAAATTAATAATGAGAATGATTTGGGAGCAAATTTCATGTGGGTACGCGAGCATGGGACTTTATTAGACTTAGCTTGGGGGGGGGGGGGGGCTGTATAATCATGTAGGGTAGTAAAAGTGACAGATTTTTGGTTGAAGATATGTAGAAACCTAACATAGCAAAATAAATCTGACCTAGGATAATCTAGCCTAACTTAGCCTAGCCTAACCCATAGAACTACAACAATGGCCTAACCTCAATCAATAGAATTTTTTGACTATACCATACAGTAACATCAAACGATAAGCAATAATTTAATATACTTGTGTTTCCTTAAAATAGTTTGTGAGTGGATGGAATGACAGTAAATAAATTCTGAACAGCAAAACGCACTCAAAAGGCGAGGTAGAAAAACCAAACCAAAAACCACCTAGGTTTCCAATGGCCACAGGAGTAAAGAGTAAAGTAAAAAAACGCACTCAAAATAAACATCGGGCAAAAACATTCTTTTAAATTGCCTTGAGGTAGTGTTTATAATGTTATATGGCATGTTTAATCTAGATGGTTGTAGCCGTAGACTATTCAGTTTTTTAACATATTCATCAACAACATGGCATCTAAGAAATTTGTTTAAGTAATCACGACATGAAAACGACAATGCTATAACAATAAAAAAAGCTAAATTAGTGGAACATTTTACTTTATATAGGGGACGTTTTCACGAAACGTTCTGTGTAGACTAACCATAGTGTTTGAAAGTAGCCAAGAAACAGTAATTTACTGTTACTCTCGCCAGTAAAACGATTATATCAACAATTTCTTTTTCCAATTGTACATTTTGACCACAATTGTGTCCTGTGGGCAAAGTAGTGGTTTAATGCAATAACAGAAAATTAACTGGTTTGCGTAGGAGATTGTTTTCAAAGATTTTGGGTTTCACCGTATTATTTTGGAGTTTTATTTAACCAAACTATGATTCCTATGGGTATTTATAGATTTTCACAGTGCATGTAGAGAGGGTATGATCACATTTAGTGTCGAAATTGAATACCATTTATAACCGCATAAAATGGATGCGAGAACCACATAAGACATTTGAATCAACGTTTGAACTGGTTTGAACCCATTAAACTGATTGGTTTCGAGAGGGATTGGAATGAGGAAATTGGATTGGAAAAGGTGATTAGAATCCCAAAACATTTGGGAGAAGATGTTTTGATCCTAACACTACATTTCGCAACAAAATATAATAAGTTTTCCCAATTATTTTACTTTTGTTTTATCTGTCCATTTAAACAGCTTTTTTAACACATGTTTGCCCAACAACCCTTTTTTTATGAGTGGTTTGTATGTAACTGTGTTATTTATCAATAGTATCCTAGCAGAAGATTGTCATTATTTGAGGCTAATTTGACAATTTTATCTATTTGTTTGATATCATTCTTAGTTTATTGTATACTCGAGAGCTTATTCAACTACTGTTGCCACGATTAACTGAATAAAGACCGTGTCATATTGTTATTGTTATACATACCTTTGACTATGGATACAACTACTAGACCTTAAATTCCCATGTAAATATTAGTAAAAGTTTTTTTTTTATAAAAATGAACTCATTTGATTGAGTGGGGCAGAGTGAGACCTGATGATTACCGTACTTCTGTATGCGATAACTTTTATCGATGTAGCATTTTTTATGTTACTCCAACCATTAAAGTAAAAAACCAAGTGTGAAAACAAGCTTTTTTAGTTTGGCTCTCCAAACTACTCGTTCAGTATATTATGTTTGAATAGATTCAGCTGGTCCATACAAATAGGATGTCTACTTCAGTACTGAAAAGTCCATACAAATAGTAAAATGGTAATAATACCGAAAAGCTGAACATTAAATAAACTTTCCGCTCTATTAATTTGTTTAATAAACATTGATTGACACGCTGCTACTCATCAGAACCTGATGAATTATTAACACCAGCTCACTTCATTGTCACAATTATTTGGCGCACGTGCATCAGCACTCCGTAGGCGACTCGTGGATCAGCATTCCTCAGAACGAAGGAATGGAGGAATCCCAGTTGGGAATGGACCAATGGACTTACAGATGTTGCTAAACATGGCATAATGACTGGCTGTGAAAATCTAGACTGAACATTAGAGCCATGTGTGCTCGTAGAATCTGGTACGCGGCATTCAGGTGAGAGTGTCTTTCCACTGAAGATTGGGTTGCTTGAGGCTGAAGAGGAAGTCTTACAGCTTCAGTAGCTCTCCTATTAAGTCACACCTTATAAATTCGTTCACATTGGCGTTTATTTAGGTCGTGCATTAATAGCGCCAAGCCCTCAACGGGTCCCAAAAACGTTCCTTAGTTGCGCCAAATCCAAGAAAGGTAGGGGTGAGTTACAGACAAAAGGAATGTAATTGTTTATGTGTCATCCTAACCTAACCTAACATAACTTCCTAACTAAACCTAACTTAACCTAACTCAATCTAACCTAACTTAGCCTAACCTACTCAATTATACAGTCAAAGAGAGTCGCTACGTGAACGTATCGGGTGGCTCCCTGGAGTAGTTGGCGCAATTCAGGAATATCCGACTACCTGACTCAGGTCATTTGGCGCAATTAATGCCCACCCTATTTACTACGTGTATTCAATGGACTAAAGAACGGGTTGGTGTTGGACTACCTCTGACTTCTGATAACTAGAGTTGATGTTTCCATCAACAAAGTACAAAAACGCCAACACCCAGCACGGGTAGACCTGCAGGTGAATTGATCGGTTCCGTTCAGTCCGTGAAATCGACTACACAGAAAAGAAACAAAGCCTCAGGTGCAGTGACGTCAGAGTTACCACCTGCGGGGTTGGAATACTGAAACGGGATATTTAGCTGATGGAACGGGACAAAATTGTTCTTAGGTTTAGGAAACTATTTAATTATCTCCGTGTTTTACCAAGACAGGTAGGTAGCATGAAGAAAAGATGCAGCCAAGTGAGGTAGTTTCCTCATCCAAAGGAGGTTAAAATTTCTCTGGCACGTGTTAGGGTATAGGCGAGGTTAGACAAATTTAGCTTCCCGTTTCAATTGAGAAAAGTATAAATCAGATGGAGATAGAATTTAAAATATGTTCAAAACATTAAGAAAAAAGCTTGATTGTCACTAAGAATATAAAAAAAACGTTAAAAAATTAAATATTTCCAGGGTTTTTCAATAAGATTGGCTATTTAGTCGACCACCTTCCTCCACTTTGAGAGCTTTACGTCAGATATCATTTAAAACCACAATGCAACACAACTCGTGGTTTATTTTTTTATACTTGTATAAGAATGAAACACCAACTTTTACATAAAATAATTTGGAAGCTATGCCATGTCGGAGTTATGAAACGTCGCGTGCGCGCTGCAGGGAGGGGGCTGGAGTATTGCTGGAGCGTGTAGTGTAGAACTGGAGGCACTTCAGCATCGCGTCGCGCGCGTGCTAACAAGTGAACAAGTGCCAGTCATCCACGCGCTGTCTTCGGTGCTTTACTGTGCTACACGTTGTTCTAAGTTTTCAAAAAACATGTTCGAAGTGATGTGGTGTTTTTCTGAGTGCTCAGCGTGTCTTGGTGCAGTGTGAAATCTTCGAGTCTTGGCTTCTTGTACCTTTGAGGATGTTGTTGACTATGGCGACTACAGTGAGGCAAGTCAAGAGGCACAGCAAATCTGTGAAGAACTCCAACCAGTTTGTGACAACAGGTGAAATCAATTTCCTTTATCACAGTATTTACACAATATTTGATGAAAATTGTAACTCACCACGTGGCATTGTGTAACTTTTGACTGAATTCAGCCTCAGCATTTCACAGTAAAATAATATTACGTGTCAGCTAATTTGTTAGTAATGTTTCTGTGGGGATGCAGTATAGAAACAACAATCAACCTTCAAAGGTCGCGTGTTTTCGTGATCTTTTATTGGACGCGAGTTTATAATCGTGATCCCATCACGTTTTACAATTAATTCTAACTTCAAATTATATTGTGTTCGTCTTGATTATAACGTGTTTCATCACATTAAGTGTCACAGTTGATTTTCGTAGTTTTTAAATAATTCTGTGTTTATCTGTGTAGTATCGATTGTATTAATATTTTTCGTATTTTACTACTACCGTTTTCCACCCGTTAAAGTCTTTTGCATTTCTGGATCTAATCCATTTTCATCTTACTACTTTGTCGTTATTTCTTTTTGTTTTATCAAATCGATATTTGTGAATATCGTATCTTATTCTTTGTTCTATGTTGACTGCAATAAATTACTGCAATTTATATAATTTGGTAACATCCATGTTTTTGCGATTTTTTTATGAGATGTCTTTTTATTTGAAGTGACTCTTGTTATTTGGAGAGCTGTCTTATTTAAAGGGATGTCTTTTTATATGAAGTCATGCCTTGTTATTTGGAGGAATGTCTTGTTATTCGGTGGGATGTCTTGTTATTTAGAGGGATGTCTTGATATTTGGAGGGATGTCTTGTTATTTAGAGGGAAGTCTTGTTATTTAGAGGGATGTCTTGTTATTTAGAGGGGTGATGTTATTTGGAGGGATGTCTTGTTATTTAAAGGGATGTATTTTTATTTGGAGGGATGTCTTGTTATTTAGAGGGATGACGTTATTTAGATGTCAACGTTATTTAGTATTTCGATCTAGTTTTAATTTGTGATATGCTGTTTATAGATCTTGTACGAAGGTTTTACTTATTTTCTAACATTTCCTCTGGATTCTTCTTTCGTGGTTATATAGGCTATCTATTTATTTTTTTCTATCCAATACCGAGCAGTCTATTGTGTGTCTATTTCCGTGTTCGATTTTATCTTTACCCATTGTTCTTGCGTTCAATTATATCTTTGCAGCCCTATTAGCATATGTGATCGTTGTAGCATGTCCGCCGTTCGATCGAGGCCTCATATCTACCGTTCATATATTCGACCGTAACCGCATTATCCCCGTTTTGATGTTTGATCGTAACTGAATTTTCACCGTTTTGATGTTTTTATCGTAACTGAATTTTCACCGTTTTGATGTTTGATCGTAACCGCATTTTCACCATTTTGATGCTTTATCGTAACCGCATTTTCACCATTTTGATGTTTCATCTTAACCGCATTTTCACCATTTTGATGTTTGATCGTAACCGCATTTTCACCATTTTGATGTTTGATCGTAACCGCATTTTCACCATTTTGATGTTTGATCGTAACTGAATTTTCACCGTTTTGATGTTTGATCGTTTTGATGTTTGTTCGTAGGCTATCATCCTTATTTTCATCGTTTTATCGGTCGATCGTGGCCACGTAGCCCTATCCCCTAGTTCGGTCGTAGTCGCCTTTTCATAGTTTTGACGATTTAATATAATCACTTTTCATGTTCGATTTTAGCCCCCACATATTCAGTCTTAACTTATATGTGTGACCATAGTCCCATTTTCACCATTTTATGTTTTATAAGTCCAGTGTTTTAATTCTAGCCTACATTTAAATTTCATTCCCAGCATCCATATTTTGTTAGCGGAATTTTCACAATTTTAACTTTTTATCACCTTTGTATATCTACTGTTTTAAGTGGCCGATCGCTTTACCATATCCATCCTTCTTATCACATCACACGAATATACTATACTTAGGCCTCTCGTAGTCCAATGGCAGCTCTTTTTCACAATTCCCCTATTGCAACAGGACAACGGGACGGGAAAGCTAAGTGACGTACCATTTCCCAGGACCGTGAGAAACACTGCACAATTAGCGATACAATGGACTAGAGACTAGAAACTTGTTACAACTTGCTTACAGCTCAAATGGGCCGAGAAATGGCGTCTAGAGGCGAAATGGCAATCAATTCTATTGGCTATAAATATACAGTTTGTCTTCGTCTGACCGGTAGCTACCTTTGTGAACATGACGATTGTGAGAGTGGTATAGTAACGATTTATTGATACTTCCACGATTCTAAATACTATACAGCCGCATATGTATCTTAGCTAGAGACTTGAAATTTTCGGCGTTTTGTAGGTCTAGTGCCCAAACCCCCGGGAAAAATCCGAAAAGTCGCATTTTCAAATGTTAACCCCCCCGAAATTTCGAATTTCCCCCCCCCCATGTTATTCTTATGGGAAATAACATTGAAAAATACCGAATTTGGTACTCTCATATGAACCGCTTAGAAACGTGCTAGAGACTTCTAATTTGCGTAGTATTGTAGTATGAGATCTTATACTACCGGTGGAATTTGCAAAAGTCCCATTTTCAAATTTTAACCCCCTCAAAAATCCAAAATGGCGGACCTCTGAAAACGACAAAAACACTTTTTTTTCAACCGGATGTAGCTCGAAAACGGTAAGAGCTAGAAAAGATTTGAAAGTATATTCAGGAACAGGAATTAAATTTTCTACAAAACCCTCTTAGGCGTTTTCCGAAAATCGCACTCCTTCAGCTTCAAAAAACGCCCTACTTTCAAAATTTGGTAAATTTTTATTACAATTTTACCGGTTTTCGCCATGTTTTCATACTTAAATAATTTTTTTTTTCAAAACTAGTATTGCTTTGTATTCTCCTTACTTTACTTTAAATTTTACTCATCACATGTTTTTTCGTAACTTTACTCCTTGACCCCCAAAACTTAATTTTAATCTCAAAATTTGAAGGTTTTTTGCCACTTTTACGAGCCCCGTGTTATTCTTATGGAGAATAAGATTGAAATACAATGACTTTGGTATGGTCATATGAATCGTTTAGAAATGTGCTAGAGACTTGTAATTTGGTAGTATTGTAGTAAGGGATCATAAGCTAATGGTGAAATTTTCAAAAGTCCCATTTTCAAATTTTAACCCCCCCAAAAATCCAAAATGGCGGACCTCTGAAAACGATAAAACACGTTTTTTTCAAACGGATTTAGCTCGAAAACAGTAAGAGCTAGAAAAGATTTGAAAGTATATCCAGGAACAGGAATTAAATTTTCTACAAAACCCTTTGAGATGTTTTCCGAAAATCACACTCTTTCGGGTTCAAAAAACTCCCTACTTTCAAAATTTGGTAAATTTCTTTCAACTTTTTACCGGTTTTCGCTATTTTTTCATACTTAAATCATTCCTTTTTGCAAATATTATTATTGCTTTGTATTCTCCTTACTTTAGTTTAAATTTTACACAGTACGTCTTTTTTCGTAACTTTACTCCTTAACCCCCAAAACTTAGGTTTAATGTCAACATTTGAAGGTTTTTTACCACTTTTACGAGCCCCATGTTATTCTTATGGAGAATAACATTGAAAAATGCCGACTTTAGTATGCTCATCTGAACCAATTAGAAACGTGCTAGAGACTTGAAACTTGGTAGTACTGTAGTATGGGATCTTACATTACCGGTGAAATTCCCAAAAGTCCCATTTTATATTTTTAACCCCCCCATACATCCAAAATGGCGGACCTCTGAAAACGAAAAAACAAGTTTTTTTAATCGGATGTAGCTCGAAAACAGTAAGAGATAGAAAGGATTTGAAAGAATCTTAGCGAAAGGAAATTAAATTTTCTACAAAACCCTATCCTGCGTTTTCCAAAAATCGCACTCCTTCAGCTTCAAAAAACGCCATACTTTTAAAATTTGATAAATTTCTTTCAAATTTTTACCGGTTTTCGCTATTTTTTCATACTTAAATAATTACTTTTCGCGAATATTATTATTGCTTTGTATTCTCCTTGGTTCTTGTATTCTCCTTACTTTAAATTCTACTCCTTTAATAATTTTTCGTATCTTTACTCCTTAACCCCCAAAACTTAGGTTTAATTTCAAAATTTGAAGGTTTTTTTACCACTTTTACGAGCCCCATGTTATTCTTATGGAGAATAAGATTAAAATATAATGACTTTGGTATGGTCATATGAATCGTTTAGAAACGTGCTAGAGACTAGGAATTTGGTACTATTGTAGTAAGGGATCATAAGTTTATGGCAAATTTTGCAAAAGTCCCATTTTTAAATTTTCCCCACCTTAAAAATCCAAACTGGCGGACCTCTAAAAACGACAAAACACATTTTTTTTCAATCGCCTATAGCTCGAAAACAGTAAGAGATAGAAAATATTTGAAAGGATTTTCATGAACGGGAATCAAATTTTCTACAAACCGTTATTAGGTGTTTCCCGAAAATCGCACTCCTTAACCTTCAAAAAACGCCCTACTTTCAAAATTTGGTAAATTTCTTTAAATTTTTACCGGTTTTCGCCATTTTTCATACTTAAATAATTTGTTTTTGCAAAAATTAATATTGCTTTGTATTCTCCTTACTTAACTTTAAATTTTAAACACTACGTGTTTTTTCGTAACTTTACTCCTTGACCCCCAAAACTTAGGTTTAATGTCAAAATTTGGGGCCCCCCAATATTATTCCTACAGGTGCATCGGTCTAAATCAATTTTAACCAATTCTAGATTAGCTAAAGATGTGAAATTTGGCTCAATTGTAGGTCTTGCGCCATGGCCCATTTGTATTTACCCCCAACCAAAAAAGGGGACCTGGGGGCGTCGTATTTTCAACCCCCCACCCAAATATTGAATCCTCCCCCCCCCCTAATGTTATTCTTACAGGTGCATAAGTCTAAATCACGTTTACCCATTTCTAGATTAACTGGATATCTGAAATTTGGCATGATTGTTGATCTTGCGCCCTTTTCAAAATTGACATTTTACAAATATAACTCCCCCCCCCCCACGAAAATTAGAATCCCCCCAATGTTATTCCTACAGGTGCATCGGTCTAAATCAATTTTACCCACTTCTAGATTAGCTAAAGATCTGAAATTTGGCTCAATTGCAGGTCTTGCGCCATGGCCCATTTCTTTTTATCCCCAACCAAAAAAGGGGGCCTGGGGCGGAGCCCCCAGCGAGCCAAAGGCGAGTATTAACAATACAATCGCTGATGTTGTTTTATAGTAATCGTAAATGTGTTGACAATAATATTATGAGTATCAAGTGACTCCACGCCAAGATTATAATGTTGATGGACAAGAAAAATACGCATACTTTTTAAAAAGAACTTAACAAGTTTATTTCAGTAGATTTTTAAAACATATTGAAATATCTATAAGTGAACATGTTATTTAAAATAGATAATACTAGGCTCAGGCTTCAACTCTGTATTCGAGATCGTAGTGAGTTGGTAGTGAACAAATTGATTTTAGCCCAGAATATAAGTTATTTTATCTACTTATATTATTAGCTTGATTCGCTTTTTTATCTTTTTAAAATTTTTTTGTTTGACGTATTAATTAAGCTAAAGTTATTCAACAGAAAAAGATAATTACCTTCATATACTATGGATGAACTTGAAAACCAATAGGGAAAAGTAGTAACAGTGGATATTTTCCAACCACTTCTCACGCCTTTGGAAAATATTTTTTGACACATTTGCTTAGGTATGCTTGGGTATTTACTGCAATTTATTTACAAACTGTTAACCAATCTATTCATTGTATAACTTTTTTTAACTGGGACAAACAACTTATTCAGTTTTTTTGTGTGAAATTTATGACTCTATTTTTTACTTAATGATCTTTCCTATCCATTGTGCTACAACTCTGTTCAGTCTTTTCATATTCCATGAGTGACATATTGCGTGTTTATAATTTCACTACTAATTGGCATTATTCTTACATCCTGTCCGTGACCTTTCTTTTCATCCGTTTTCTTGCTTAGATAATTGGAAAGAAGCAAATTAAAGTAGAGCGCAGATGTGTTAGTTGACTTTTTTCTTCTGAAAATGTTTATGAATGTTGTTGATACCCTGATGTATAATTAAGTTCAGGAAATAAATAAACCACATAAATAGAAGTAGTTATTCCACTTTCCTTCTTTGACCGCTAAATAGTTGTACAAAATTACTAAATAACTTCTTGATCAGCATTGTACGTGTTATAAAATTTACAGAAAGTAAATAAAAGAAACGTCTTATAACACTTAAAACATATATTTACGCTTATACTGTTACTCACAAGACGGGAAATATACAAAAAATATTCGCCTATTGGGTCTGATGATGATTGGAGTGTCCAATCGAAATTGATCACCACCTACCATCTTGTTTGTATATTTGCCGTCTTGTGAGTAAGAGTATAAGCGTAAATATATGTTTTAGATGTTATAAGAAGTTTCTTTTATTTACTTTCTGTAAACTTACTAAGGTATCAAAAGAAACTAAATGCAGATTGGTACTGATTTGTTCTGAAATGGAAGTGCACTACTATTTACATTACCGTTACCTATCTTAATGTGTGTCTAACTAATTAATTATTTAAGTTTATAATATAATACTTATTTTGAGACCAAATTACCTTATTATTGAATTAAATTTTACTAAAACATAATTAAGATGACATATATATACCACCGATTATCAAAATTAAATATTATTTAAATAGGGAATAAATCTGATATAGGGAATAAAAAATGTTTTTCTTAAATTTGCTATTCTTCTAGAAAAACATTCCTAGTACATTGGATGAAGATATAATTGAATAAAAAAAATCTTTTTACGAATGATTAATGATGTTTTAGACAACCAACTATAACAATAACTGTTGTAATAATCGGCGGATATATCCACCTACCGTCCGTGGAGCCCAAAATGTTAGCGGATATATCCGCCTATAGTCCCGGAAGGGTTAATAACTCATTTTATGGTAAGTTTCAAGTTTTTTTTATTTATAGACTAATTTTGTTGTTTGTTACAGCCGAGGTGGAGGGCTATGGACCATACAAGCCAGTGCCCCCACCCAAGCCACTGACTGCTGGCCCCGCTGCATCTCCCCCGCCATATAGGATGCCCCCGTATCCCCTGTATAGCGAGCCGTCCATCCCTGGGTCTGCTGGTGGTGATCCTACTCACTCCAACCTACACACACACTCCAGCAAGTTTCCGGTACATAACAAATACAACTTTTCAATGTACGATATTTAGTATTGAATAAGTTTGTTTATAGGCAAATGTGTACAAGCACTTTGTACGGATTTTAATGCTGCCTTTTTTATGATGGAAATAATAGTCTTACTACTTTCAGTTCCTTAAAGTCAGGAATAGGCAGGATTTATATTTTGGTGTTATATGACATTGATATTTTTCACTTTTGTAAGGAATCCTTTTGTTAGATAGCATTTTTAATTGACACCCCAATGATAAACGGCATCAGGGTCTGGTAAAAATCTTGTTTGGATTGAATTAAACCACCTCCCTTTTGATTTAATGGCAAACACAAAAACCACTCGGCTACCCATATACAACCTAGCCTTTAGACCTACAACTAACTAAAGTTAGTGTTTTAACCACCTCATCAAATAATGATTATGCCTTGAGTATACTGTAGTTGCGTCAGGTAAAAACAAAACCTCTCATCTGAGGTTTAATTCTGTCCATTACTTCCAAAGGTATTTATTTTAAAACACAAGAGGCTTCTATGGAAGTTAAACCATGCAAACTGATGCTTGGATTACCTCTTCTGGTCTGATGCATTTTTTCATAACCTTTAGACATTTTCATGCCCTTGGCTTCTTTCACCTCCACTGCTTCTTCGGATATTCAGGGGCCCCCTTTTAGAGAATCTTAAGAAATTCGCCTAGTCAGCAGGTTTGCTATCATTGACTGGGACGGGTGGCGTCGTCCTGTAATCCAGCTACTAGGAGGACACGAATTGTGGATATTTATAGGCATGCACTGTGGATGCGATACTCTCTGGTGTGGATTAACGTCTGCACGAGTGAGTACTACGACTATCCGCAGTGCTATCCTATCCTGTTAATTAGACTAATTCGTATATACCAAGGCGGCAATGTGGTTCGGATTACACTATAAACTGTAGGTCCCCTTGATTAACAGCTGTGTCTAAGGAATATGTCGGCCTTAGTCACTAACAAGACTACAAGATCGGGCCACTCATCCTACACTCATCTCAATTCATACTTGGCTTAAAATACCTACTTTGCATGGTCGCCATTTCATCAACAAGTAAAGTACAGTAAAGTAAAGTATTTTACTTCATCTTCCCTTATCTTTAATGTCCTCTTCATATGTGTGGTTTCGGTAACGGATAAAGGAAGTAGACTTGGTGTGTGACTTCAATTTTTGCTCTGATTTTTAGGAAAATGAATACTGGAAGCTCTGATGTTTTAAAACTGGACCCTGCTTGATCATTGAACTTCAACTGGTCTTAGTCAGTGACAAAACTACTCAGTTCATCTTTCCATTTTATATTCTTCCTGTACATGTTGTTTACCTAACACTCAATCAAGAATTACAGTACACAATTACATCCCGAACTGTGTCATGCCCTCTTTTCTCGATTCTCTCCCCAACTCTTAAGTTTGATGAAATCTGAGGACCCCAGGACCCTGTATCAGCTTTGGGTCGTAGTAGAATCACTACTTCCCCCCTTCCTTTTCCTTCTCATTTAGGCACATTTATATCACAAGAATTCAATCTCTCATTGAACAAGTCATAGATTCACATTTCTTTAATGTAAATCACAGAGTTGAATTATCTGCTCAGTTGGTACCGGTATCACAAGAGATGCTAGGTTGGTAGCCATGCAGTACACAGGATGTGAGGACTCGGGAGTTGTGTAGCGTGAAGCTTGTGTCTGTATGGTTCATGGCCCAGCGAGGCCTTCAAACTCCACTGCTTGTGTTAATTTGAATATCTTAAACCCCTCCACTGGTGCCTTTTGAGGTCTACGAACTAATGTTCGGATGTGAATATAACTAGACAATTTGTGATAGCTTTTACCATGTTGTTTTAGACTGAGATGATATCTTAAACAATGAACAACTTGAATGTTTGGCGAAATTCTTGTGGATAATGTCTTTTATATTGTTTTAGGTGCATAATTTTGGTTCAATATACTTAGGCCATGCTTCAGTGGTAATCTGTGGCTAGGAGGGTTAATTTATTTACTATGATTAGTGTGGTTGTTCTGTTTGTATAGAACTAGAACTGGAACTAAACACTCTCATTTAAAAATTGAAACTAGTTTTAGAATACGAATGAGTCTTGATTGTACCACAGACAAATTGCGCTGATTTAAATTATAACTGTTTTCTATCAACTACGCCAAATTTTCAAGCAAGTTAAACTCATATACATCTTATTTTAAATTGATATTAGCATCTTTCATTTAAAAAATCTAATTAGCGAGAAAATAGAATTGTGGACCTTCTGTGATTGGCTCATTCGACGTTATTTTTGAAAATAAAGTTACAGCTTGTCCATAAAAGATTTGTCTACTTTACTATCCAAGAGTGAATGGAGAGCTTAGCTAACTTTGGTAGTTTTGCTGATCTAAAATAATAACCAACTCATGGTAAATTAAACATAAAATTTAAGTTTGAAAGTTAAAATGACATAGATACAGTTTACTGTATGGTTTTAAAAATAAATACTGTAGTTTATACAACAGAATGGACTAGATAAAATACGCCTCTTTAAGAAATAGTGTTATAAATAAATAAAACATTTTGATAACATTTTGGCTGAGAACAAAACAAATTGTATATTAAATCATTATACTGTATCTACAAAAAACTAGTTTACACTAAAAAAGGCTGTCGAGCAAAGAAGTTAAACCTGATATTATAATTTCCTACTCATGTCTCCAACTCATTATGACTCATAACCCAGCAGACATCCACTTAATAACAGCAATGATGCGAGACGAACATGGACCATGGTCTAGGACAAGCTAGTTAATTAACTATAATGACAATGGAGTTGTCGGGTAGGTTTGGTGATGCCTCGGTGTTTGATTAAAGCAAGGATGACGCTCCTAGTTAGTCGCTACCAATTACTTTTTGTTTCTGGTAATTGTGGGAACTTTTTGTCCGTGAGAACGTTCACAAGTGTCCGAGACTTGACACCAAACGCTTCTTCGGCTCTTGCGGACGTATAATTTAGTTCCATATTGTAATCGGTTCTGTGAAACGGTGAAGTTAAATGGAACTGCAGTTTGTGTCATTTTAGTTGTAGTGGAAAAGTGTTGGTAGTGTTGGGATGTTTTCAGCCTTCTTCAGATATTTATCTAGTGAAAGAAGTGGAAGTTATTCAGTATAACTCTTTTAGAATGAGATTTAAGAGACATATGTTATTACTCAGGTATTTTGTTGTTATTTATCATTTAGTTGTGGCTGTTTGATATTTCATTACATCAAAAAGAATTTTAAATCATGTAAGCTACAGATAAGTTTAACTTAAGTTAAAAAAATACTACTTGATGATGTATTTATTTTTCAATAAATAAGGCAGCACGTGGAAGAACAATTATTAACAGGACATAACTTTTGTTTTAGAGAACATAACAACCAACAGCATAACTTACATGTCAATATGAACATAATTATGATTACAATTAATTAAAGGAAGTCATATAAAATACAGACAAAGAGGAAAATTTAAATAATTGTATGTTACATATAATTTTTGCTGATGTATAATCTCATCTTTTTAAAATACATTAGCCTGTACTGAAAAACCTTGTAAGATATTACAAAAGTACATTGTAGAGTTCTATAATGTTGTAAAATTGCATTGAGAAATAAAGATTTGTTTAAAAGTTTATTTTTGGTTTTCCATAATCTTGCTAAGTATTGGAGGAAATAGCAAAATTGTTTCAAATACCTACAGTTTACATAATGAATGCTTTGAAAATAAATTGATGAATTTTAAATTAGGTAGAAAAGAAATTGTATACAGGCCCCCATGAACTCTTGCTGATGGCCTCGTTAAGAAAATGTGGACATAACCTTCTGAAAACTCCTTTAGCCATTTGTGCTCATTTTTATGCCCAAACTTTTTTTGGCATGCACATCCATCAATGGATTTCACGTTCAACGGATTTCAATAGGGTTTGACCTCTTAGAAATCTGAAAACAAAACATAACATGATTCATAATAGGCGAGGCTATCAATACTTTTCTTAAATTGTTATCGGCTGAATTTGTTATCAAGGAAACAAATTTGTTGACTCTAACAGAAACTTCAAGGGACCTTGAAGGACAACAGTCTCGTACCTTTTTTCCTAATAAACATTCTTATCACTTGTAGATTGAGCGAGAGGTTATTCTCAGCAGCACAGACAAGAACTCCAAGATCCCTATACTGAACGAGTACCGCAAGAGGCCCAAGGGAGCAATTGCACCTGACGCTCCTCATATACAACTTGCCTGGACGGAGGACCGCAGGGTACGTAAATACAATTATACATTATATCTTAGAATAAGGTAAAACAATCAAATCTTTTACTTTTAGATCCCAAGATGAACCTCCCATCTATGTACTGGCTGTGCAGCTATTTTTGTATTGTAATATATACTGTACTATAAAACCACAGAATAAGCCACTTACAGAGAATGTTCTATTTTCAACTTCAACAATTTTCTCCTTTAGTTAACTGATAAACACATTCTCTCACAAGCCACAACTCGGAACCCAAAAGCTCTGGGCCTAGGCCAATACCAATATGAAAATAGCCCATTATGATTCCTTTGTAATGATTTCTTTGTGCCAAATATCAGAAAATTGAGTCTTGTGACTTCTGTCTAGAAGGATTTAATATTGCATTTTAGACTGAGTAGTAACTGGGATACACAATCTGGGAAGAGAATGCGATCAGAGGCCATGAAAGTAATCATAAAAAATAAAACATAAGTTTCTTATTTTTATTAATCGAGATTTGGAAACTTAGAGAGCACAATTTAGAGGGAGCATAATTATTTTGTGAGAAAAGAAATGAAGTTTTAAATTCTGACATTGATGTTTTAATATAATAATTTAAAAAATAACAATAACTTCATCATAATCCCTTATTCTCAATGTATGTTTATTCTCTCCTCTCTTCCACAAAATCTTCTATAAAAATACATTATGAACAATTCAGATTGAACTTGAAAAATTTAATTTATAAGTGAAAAAGTGTTAGGTTGAAAATGTTTATTACTAGTCAAAATGATGTATCATTTTGATAATATTTTAGGACATGGACCAGATTCACTCTCACCCTCAAGATAATGTCGGAGCTCATCAACTTTACAAGGTAAAACTACATTTTTACTTCTTTCTAGAGTTCATATGCAGTATCACAGACGATGTATTTGATAGGATGAATTGTTGTTTTTAGTAGTGAAATCAACAAACCTGTTTCTTTTAAATTAAGTTATTTATTTATGAATATGTTATAATATATCTTTACCTAACCTTACAAACATCTATTTATGTCTTAATGTCATAAATCAACTGATTTAAAGGTTTTATGAAGTAATTAATGGAATTCATTTTAAATTAGTAACAATGTGCGAATATTTTTTTATCTTTGAATAAATATTTGTTAAATAACAAACTCATATTTCAATCTGTTACAGGCCCAACCCATGACGTTACTTGACTCTAGTCGTGTTTCAGAACCTTCTCCTATAAATGGCTTCCACAGGTTAGACAGCAACTTACAATACTTTGTTACTGGTACTAATACTTGCACAATTTGTGTTAGCAATGTTTGTTATATTGTTGAAGCTTATAAACTGAAAACTGTCCTTGATAATTGGGCTATAACTATACAAGGCATCTCATTCCATGCTTTACACATGCTGTATTCATAGTTCAGTTAAAATACATATTCTTTGGCCCTGTCTTGGACCTCAATAACTCGAACCTTGATACTTTGAATTTGTTTATAATCCCCATAAATCACAATGTTAAAAGTACCTTAGCTATAAGTCAAACTTTTAATGTGTTTAACCCCAATAAGTTGAATTAAACAATTTTTGATCAGTAATACTCAACCTCTATAACTCAAATTTTCCTGTTATCGAGCTTTAATAACCAAATTTTACCTCTATGTTGAAGTTCACTATAAGTCCACCAAGTCTGAAGTCTATAAGTTTGATGTGTCTTGATAACTCAAAGATTTTCCATACAGTGCAATGGCTAGTGCTGTGGAAGTTTAAAACGTAGACGCACAACGAAAAAAGAAGAGTGATTAAGGTAGTTGACTATGGATTAAAGAAAAAATGTCAAATCACCAGGGAATTTGGAATTCTCCCTAACACTATCGATAATTAAAAAAAAACTGGGTTAAGTATGAAACTGAAGAGAGATCAATGATCAATCAATAAGAAAAAATGTAGGAACAATCAGTTTAAAGACTTGGATGACTGTATTTAAATGTGTTTAAAACAGTGTCAAGAAAAAAACATTCCTATATCAGGATCAATTTTATGGACCATTCGAACGCATGATAATTTTTTTTGCTTCCATAGTTACCTTTCAGTACGTATGCCAATGAGCTTGATTTATAAAGGTTTTCCACGTAAAAGTCGAGTTATAATGTTCGTGCCATAACATTATTGTCAGAATCCAACACCTCAGTATCTTGAATTTTTGGTACACAGCACCTTCATTACGTAAACCTCGCTTATTCAAAAAACTCGATAACTCAAATTTTGATCATACCCCCATCAGTTTCGAGATATCAAGGTCCTACTATAAAAATACTGGAGATAAAATAAATTTGCTTAGGATTGTTTGAACTAAAAACGTATCAAAACATTAAAAATATAGAACAAAAAAAGTTCAAAATATATTTAATTTGAGCTAACTTAAAAATAATGCTTCAAGGTTTTCCAACCTAACACAACTGCTCTTTACAGTGGCCAAGGTAGTTCTACAGGGGCAGTGCCTCGCACCCCTGCAGCACACTCCACGCCCGAGGGGGAGGGTAACTCTAAGCCCTTCCCCTCCCGAACATACCATACCATCAAGGACATCATCAGCAGCAAATTCAATAAACGCAATGATAAAGTTGAGGAACTCAGGTACGTTATGCTAAAATGTTAAAATTTTTTAATTTTACATAAGATAATTAATTGATTTTCTGGTTTACATTTAAGATTTGGCTCTGCAGAAGGAAGTCTTTATTTATTTTGGTGTTATTTAAATTCATAGTGAAGGTGACCTCAATTCAATTATCAAAGTACAATTAATGCTCTTTATTCAACACACAATTAAAACAAAGTAAACATTACAACCAGATGATTTATGATTGTAAAATAAACAGGCAATAACTATAAACATTAGGGATGTAACATATTTACTTGTTAAACTCTACGTGAACACCTTGTTTGCAAAGGGTAAAGCCATAAGTACTAAATAATTTTCACCCAATATTTCCACATTAACTTATGGACCACGTAAGTTATCATCCTGTACAACGATGTTTTTCTTTTTACACCCAAAGTTGCATGTCAAATAACATAGTTGTCTGTTGCAGCCCTCAGAGTCAGTTAAGACAACACGGGGTGTATCTGGGCACCCCTAGTAACTCTGGTCCCACTCAACCTCCTCCTAGCAGTGCTGAGATCATGCGACGAAACCAGGAGATACAAAGACAAATCAAAGAAATGAAGGAGGCACAGGATGATGGTGGCTTTCAGGTAGGGAAACTTGTGAAAAGTATGAGGACCGTCTGTATATTCAGGTCATGGAGCACGTTGCAGCCAAACAAGCTGGTACAAAACTGAGACCAATGTTGTGTTCTCTACTTTATCCGCTACTGTTCTTGCCAAATCCCACAACCAAGGAAGAAGTAGTTTTGTGATAATATTCAAAAACGTTGTTAAAGAAAATTGATTCTCCCGCCAACTACAAATCACGTTCTTTGATTAGATTTCCGTAGTCTCAGTCATCAACCTTTATTGAAGTCTTTCACCAGTTGACAGGTGCCTAATAGTGCAGTAGAAATAGTGTTGGAGGTGGAACTAATTGCAACATAAATTATTTCAGTTATAAATGATAGGTAATACACTTATAAAAAACATACTAAAAATATACATTTGTACTGTTACGCAAAATACGGTTTTTTGGTCGCCATTTAAAAAAAGTGTTTAATTTTAAATTATTGTTAAAAAATCTGGTTTGGTATCAAATTATAGAAAATATCATGCTGGAAAAGAATATAATGGTTGAATTTAAGATATACTGTTAACAGTGATGCACTATGGGTGAAAAAAGTTGCGTTTAAAAACGTGCCATTTAAACGGTTTTTTATTTATAAGTTAATTTATACTTTAATTTTTTTTTCATTTTTGACCCTTAAAACATAAAATTTCCCAATTTCTCTCTAGACCTTTTTAAGAGCTTAAAAAACCAATAGTTAAGTTTATCAAAGTGTTTTTGTACGGTTATTGGTAACGGAGAAAATTCAAAAAATTGGAAATTTTAAATCCCCATGTTATTCTTATGGAGAATATTGTAAAATGTTGTAGTTTGCTTCTTTATGGATATATTTTGATAAAACTTTGCAGATTTATTTATTTTATACTAAACAAAAATATTTTACTAAAACACACTTAATTAGTTCCATTGTAGCAGCAAACCTAGGTACTCGTTTCGTTAAACCTAATGTTATTTATTTAATAGACTAGCAACAGAGCCCATTGTGGGTTAAATACAACAGTCTCTAGTAAAATAATGGGGTTGAAATCCGTACACCACTTTACTCACTAATATTTTGGTACAGATTAAGCTCATAACATTAGAATCACACACTTAACATAAGGAACACACTTTAAACACAAATGCAAATTGTTAACAACAATATTTAATCAAAGAAAAATCTAATAAATAACAATATAACGATAAGCTGTTAAATTATTAACTCATTTTTCGTATGATTAGATTATACATACTGGTAAATCAATTATTGCCATCTATAAAAACAATTGGTTTTTCTTTTCCAAGTCGGGTTAGCTCTTCTAGACCGGTTTTCATAATTTTGGCCTTAAGCCGGGTTTACACTACTGTATGTAGCTAAACCTGCTATATAGCAGATTTGTGTAACATCTAGCAATGTTGTATAAAATTTGCAAGAAGAAAAAGTAACTTTTCAAAAGTGCTATATAACACTGCTATATGTAGCTAAAATTGTGCTATCCATCGGGAGTCGGTAAATAGCAAAAGAAATACGTGCTACATCTAACATTGCCATATTTAGCAATGATAAACATATTTTTTTTTGCCTAGCATCTGCTATCATTTAGTGCCAACAGTTCACAGTTGTAGCCTCCTGGGTGCGGACGGTTTTGCTCAGCGATCTTTGTTTACAATGGACGGACTGGAAACGGAAAGTGACGGAAAGTGCGCAGGATCGGGATGCAATTATAAACTTAATTGAACTGTTCTGTGGACAACCGGTGTTGTGGTTATACGTAAAACGTTTTTGAAGTCGTATTTCCCGTTTTAATCATGGACTGTCAGCGTATTCGTCATCATTTAGGTCCCGTAATAAATCTGCTATACTGTACTTATTTCTCGAAGCAAGAAGCAGTCGAACCTAAAACTTGCTAGAATCTTCGCTTCAGCCTCTCTATCTGACTTCCAAGATCCCCGCGATAGCTGCCACGAACCATGTCTCTTCAACGCACATTTCGATACGGAATGCGAAAGAGGTTGTGCTACATATAGCATATAGCACGAGCACCATAGAATCACAAAAATTGTCCGTAAATTGTTCATACAGCAAAAGTTATATAGCAATAGTATATAGCAAAAGTTATATAGCAGGTTTTGCTACATAGTGTAAATCCGGCTTTAAACTAAACCTATGGACGCACCATAGATTTGCTATCAAGCATCAGCACTCATTTTGACGTATATTTCGAGTCATGCACAAACTGCCTCCCTGTACATTACTTACGGGAGATATTTTTTTTTTTAGTTCGTTTGGCTCTTCTACCCGATCGATTTTCATAATTTTGGTCTCAAAGCTATGCAAGGACATATTTGTCATCAAGCATCATCATTAATCCATCAAATGTATTACTCTACGAAAAAAATTAACTTGGAATTTTTCATTTTTTACTTCAATTAAAAATGTATTCCAGCAGTTAAAATATCCTATATGTTTTGTTTTATCTTAAAACCTTCAGTGAAATACCAGCTTCCATTAGAATTATTGATTATTAAGATTGGATCTACCTAAAGCACACTGCTAAATCACAAACAACCTGTATTGTTTAAAAATGGAGTTATTTATCATCGATTTATAGTCAAAAGATCATGCTTGCAACCTCAACAAATCTTGGTTTCACCTAGCAAATCTTTAAAAAAATTAAACTTTCATAATTATTTGAAAATCTACACAAATTAAGCTTTCCAACGACCCATTAGGCAATACAATCGGTCTAGTAGAAGTCTAGATTTAGTTGTATTAAGATTTTTAAAACTGAATTACTAGATTTATTTGAAAATCAATTAAGACAAATGGTAATTCGTTTAGTCTGCAGCTTTGCTGCGGCAGGGGTATTTTTTACTACGATTGCTAAATAGTGCTTATAACCACTATTATAACATTTTTCAGCATTAAATTTCCTATAATTTGATACCCAAAAAGTTATTTTTACGAATATTAAAATTTTGACATTTTTTTCAAGATGGCGGCCAAAAAAACGTATTTTGCGCCACAGTACGGATGTATACTTTTAGTATGTTGATTAGAAGCATACTACCTACCATTCACAGCAAGAATCATTTCTGTTGCAATTAGTTCCACCTTAAGCTATATTTTCAGTTATTTCTACTGCACTATAAAGGATATGGGGTTTTAGAGGTAAAATGAAACAGTTTTCCATGGTGAGGGCAGACTACTGTTGTTCACCAGTCTCTGTTGTGTATGCCTAAGAAGGCTTTTTAAAGCAATAAAGTGGACTGTATTTGAGAGGGATATTGAATTTAATTTTGGTTAAAAATATAATGGACTTTTGTTTAGTTTTGACACTTTGACTAGTCCCGGTGAGAACTTATTTTCAATGTCCAAATGTTCACGCAATTTAGTACACACGATTTACAATCAAATTAAAAGGGTTAAATGGGCGCACAAAAGAAAGAGTAATAAAACAAGAAAATAGGAGGAGAAAAGATAGAATGAACGATGCTACACAAATAACATTATTACGAGGAAGCATTGCACTTGGAAATACAAATGTTTACAATTAAATTTGTAATGCTGCATTGTTGGCCATATGAGGATTAATGCAATTGACTCTCTCCTCTGTCACACTGATCAGCAGTGAAGGGAATTTCGCATGCGAATCTATTATGACTGAACGTTTAGAGGAAATTGCTGAATTGATACGTGACTTTATAAGACCATCAAAGAAAATTATACTAATGCCTAAAAGTCTTAAACTCACTGATCAGCGAGCAAAATTTCCTTAAATTCAATCTTTGTCTTCTGGAAGATGATGAACGCCCAATGCCGGCCTTGTGCAAATGTGTAAGGCTTTCAGTGCACTTCCCTAACCTAGCACTTGCACCTTTTCTATGTCAAATCCCTTTTCTTCATACATATCTGTTGATTGGCAACAGTAAGTAAAAGGGATTGCTTACCGAAACCTAATCACACAGAACAAGATTCATGCTTGGCGCGAACGTCACATTTCCTTCATATAGTTTTTGGCTATTATGAGGAGATTAATTATCTCTTAGAGGTGGGAACCAGCTGAAATAGTGGATGAAGGACAAATAAAATTCACAAATTTTATTTTACAGACAGACCTTATAAATTTAGTGTTTTATTTGTAAACAAAAGCTTTAGAGTATACAGTTGCAGATTAAAGGAAACACATTACAAGGTGATTTACTGAATTGGGTAGTTGTTGAATGAATGTACATTTAGCAGGATACATCTATACTCAATTCCACGTTTACCATGCAATACAGTTCTTGTGGATATCTACATTACGGGAAACATTATGCTTTTTGTAGTGCAGGTTACAGTTGCGTTAACTACCCTTGTGAAGGCATTGAAATATATTTGACTTATTTCTATAATATCACAGTGTTTTTGTGAATAATTTAGATTTTGACAATGGTATAGCCAAAATAAGTAGGTACTTAAAATCCTCAGGAAAAAGTAAAGGAGTGTTTTGCAAGTTATGATGTTTTTAGACAGCTTAAAATGCAATGCTTATAGAACCTCCGTATTGGATGGTGAACATGGAATGGAGTAAGTGCTACTACCTAAGACACTCAGGCATTTTTACATTGCAAGACATTTCACTACCAGAATAATAAAACAAAAATATGTTATGAATGCATACAATAACTTTGACAAATTAGATTAAACATGTTTCAAATGTGATTTATCTTGTCGCCAGGAGGTGATGGGACGTAACTACAACACGGCAGGCAGCAGTGGAGGCCCTCGCCACTCCATGATCGAGATGGAGACTCCTCGCAGACCACCCCAGTCTCATACTGAGCCCAGTCCTCATCATCAGAGGTTAGTTTTGTTTTGATAATGATATTATTTCTGGTGGTTTGGAAGATGTCCATCTATGGAGTTACATTTCACATTTGTTTGGAATTAAATTATATTTCATTTGTGTTTATCCACACCAAATTTTTTAATTTTTTTAAAAGGAACTGCATAAATCATGGTCTTGTTACTACCGGTACTTAATGTTGACTTTTTGTTGGATAGCATCATTAATTAACATTCCAATTTTGCATCTGGGTTCAGAATCAATCTTACTTGGAATCAAAAGAGTAATCTTCAGTTTTGAAGGCGAGTGCAATAACTACTCCTATACTTATACATATACCAAGATATTGGTAACTTCTATTATCAAGGATTGTACAATAATTTTACGTGCTGTCGTTCTTGGAAGTAACTTAAATGATTTAGTTGAGTCTCATTTTTCTTTTCCTCAACGTAACTCTAAGCTAAAGATTTTCCCTCCAAAGAAACAAATCTACTAATATTTACTTAAGTTTCCTTTCATACACAAGTCCGTATTTTGACTCGTCAATATATTTTCTCCAGTAGGCTTGAACCCTAGCATCCTCATTGAGCTCCAACCTCATATATTTCTCCTTCATAAAAAAATTGATAGTAATGTTGAAGAACATTTTTCATAGTCCTGTGGTATGTCTGAGCAGGTCGGCTGCCAGTGGGAGTGGCAGTGTGATGAGGCCAGGAGACGTGTATGGACGACATTACCCTGACACCGGAGGATATGGTGTTCCTGGCACCCGACGCAGCGTCTCTGAAGCAGAGAGCGCGAGGAAGGTTAGTTTATGAAGCTCGTTCACACATATTACTGATTACAAAATATGGGTAATTATTGTTTTTATTTGTCTATAAATCCCATAGAACATAAATATTTATTCCAAAGCAATAATTTTATCATAATACTCAACAACTTCCTGTATTATTTCAGGTAGAGGCCGCAAGGAGAGAAGAAAGGTACTACTTCCAGCAACAAAACCAACCAAGGCACACAGATCCTAGAGCTAGCAAAGAAATGGAGAGCATGGGGGTTTACGTGTCTCGGAACCCAGGAGACCGTACATCCAAAACACCAGAGTCAAGGACTCCAGACTTCAGCCGGAAAACTGAACGGGATTCTAGGACACCGGATTTCCACAGGAAGAGCGAACTACTTTCAAGGACGCCTGATCTGGAGAGACGGATAGAAAGTGAAAACCGAGTGTTGCGTTCTCAGTCTGTGGAAAGGTTGGACAGTCGTGATGTGAACGGAGATTGTCGGATAGAGATGGACAGGGAGAAGGAGAGAGACAGGGAGAAAGAGGAGGAAGATGATGAAGAGGGGGGATTTAAGGGAGGGGCAGGGGGACAATCAGACTCTGGGAGGGGAAGTACAGTGTACAGCAGCGGAAAAGCAAAGACGGAGAGAAACATTGATACCAGCCCGGAGCCAAACACAGTCACAGGTGAGGAATGTGTAGAAATAGATCTTAAGAACACCCACCAATGAATCATAGTGTGGGTATTGTTAGGTCGACTCACACTTTTCTAAATGCTATGATTAATATGTGAACCGATAAGTGACACAAAGAAACACAGGTTAGAAGCAACAGCCATTGTAAATGACTTTTTCATCACTCTTACAGAAAGTAGCTATTTTCAATAACAGCTGATATAAAATTAAGTAATTGTTTCCCAAGCTCTAATTCAGAGTAGCGAGAAAAAGATGAGCTGATGCTCTCAATCCGGTTCTTCATTTGCCCACTACGCAGAGCTGGCCTTAGGCACGTTCGAAAAATGCAGCCACACAGGGCGCCCTGAGGTGCAACTCAGGGGTCTCAGGGGGCCCCAAGCTTGGTGCAAAATCAAAAAAATTTTATTTTACGTTAATTATGAAAAATTTACAAGGGAAGAGTATAAATACTAATATTAGGCCTATACATTGGATTTAGTATTATTAGAATAAATGGAAGGGGCCCGAAATTTTGGGGAAAAAACATTCCCAATCATCGGGACGGAATTACATTAGGTTCAGGATTTTCTCAGGACAGGTTTTGATCATCTATTTTATTGGCATGGTTAATATTTCTACACATTTATATTTTTTCTATACAATTATATGGATCAGGCCTATGTTAAATAACCTACTGAGTTGGTTATTGGCAACAAAGTAAACTTGAAAAGCACTTTTAAATATCAGTAGGATTTTATGCCCATCCTTTTCTTTTGTGGTAAAAAAAAAAAAAAAATAGACCTTGATGGATAGAATTTGATATTATTACTTCGATAAGGATGGGATCACAAAAATAGATTCCTGAAAAATTATCCAGAGTTGGTAAAGACAGGGGATAGTGTACTTGGTATATTTTTATATTTTAGTATTAGTCTTTCTAAATCACAACTATGATGTACGGCCAGGCCCCGGAGACGCAGGTTGGGTAGACATGGTGGAGTCTGAACTCCGTCACATCCTGGACCCCAAGCTGCATCTCAACATTGCCAACTCTACAATGAGTGAGAGCATCTCCTCTATGACTCCTCCTCTACCTCCGCTCTCACCTGGGGGCTCGTCGTCGCCATCACCCTCCCCGGACTACAAACATAAGAGGTAAGTACTACTTTGACTTACACGGGGAAAATGTGAGTGGTTGTCAGTGATGTATACAGTCGCTTTATAAAGTTACTTGAAATTCATATGTTGATCATGGTTTGTTCCAATCCATTCAGAGATACTTAGCTTACTAACTCAGGCTATGCTCCTACATTGGAAGCAGAATTTCTTCAGACTTGTCGGTTTAAACGGGCTTGTCCGAATCTGACAAATACAAACATGTTTGGCGTTGCTTCCCCTCCGATACTCTTGTGACAAGAATCAAACTAGTTTCCAGTCCCAGTCGCAGGTTGAAAATCTTAGATCTTTCCTTGTCGACAGCTGACACTGAGCTGAATCCTGTGACTTATATTAGCTGCAGTGTAGAAGTGCTGGATCTGTTCTGGTCGGGTTGACTGACTAGAACAATCCAATGGCTTTCAATGTGAGAGTAGTCTTAGACTTCACTATGATGATCAATGATCATAAACCATCACTTCTATATTATTTATTGCACCTGAATAGTTACTGTGATTATAGCCCAATTTGTAGTTTAAATCAACTGTGTTTTTCATTGTTCTTCGACCGTAAGTGGTTTTAATTGTTTTAAAAATATGTGGTATTGCATATGTACTGCAAGAGAATTAGCACCTCAAGGTATAATGAATTCATAACCTAATATCTGATATTTCCACAGCCTGCCGTACAACAGCAAGCCAGAGTTCAGTGTGAAGCCTAGAGGTGGCCAGAACAGTCGGGCTGTGTGGAGTGCCAGGGTAGGAGCTAAAGACAAGTCTTCACATCACCGTCTGCCTCCCAAAACATCATCCAAGCTGCCGTCAGGTAAAACTATAAGTATTGTTGATGTTTTTTTTTTTTTTTTTTTTAATAGAGGGCCAGGCTTCAAGTAACCATGGGATTGCATCGCAGCTAGAACAGCTTATTGTGCACCCTCATTCACAGGTCCTCATTCTTTGTCAAATCCCAGGTCCTTTGTGAACCGTGAGATCCTTTTGACAATGGTGACCCGTTCTTCTCTTTGATCTCCAGTCGATAGGCCAAGGGATCTCATGCGCAGACCTTGCAGGGCTGGGCACATAAATATCACGTGGAATGCTGTCTCCTCCTCCTCTCCACATTTCCTACATAAGAGGCTTTCAACTTGAATTCCCATCTTGTGTAAATGTCCACGGAATACCCAATGGCCGCTAATAAAGCCAACCACCTTCCGCAGGGTCTTCCTACTCAGCCCAAGGGCTTCTGCCGCTATCGCACCTGTAGGTGCCTTCAGCATTCTCTTTGACTGTACATTTCCTTCTGTTCTTTCCCAGTTCCTTTGATGTTCTATGAACATCCACTGGCGAACAGCTCTCCGTGCTGTGTTGTAAGCAATACCACACGTCGGCTCTGGACCCATGAGCGGGCTTTCAGCTCCTTTGTTTGCCCACTTGTCATTTCCCTCATTGCCAGCAATACCTTTGTGCCCTGGAACCCAACTAAGGATGATCCTGTTGGTCTTTCCCAGGGCTTTCATGGCTTGATGACAGTCCCATACAGCCTTGGAGGTAAAGTCGAAACTGTCAAGTGCCATTAGTGCTGCTTTGCTGTCTGAGTTCATGTATATAGTGTGGCCTATAAGACCGCGCTTCAAACACACTCTCGCACACTCAGACAGGGCCACCACTTCTGCCTGGAATACAGTGGCCATTTTTCCCAAACTTACGCAGAACTGCACCTTGGGTCTGACTCCATATATTCCAGCCCCCGTGCCCGTTGGCTTTTTCGAGCCATCCGTATACCAGGTGATCCCCCTTTTCATGAATTCAGGTTCACCCTTATTCCAGGCATCCCTGTCAACAATGTTGACATTGTATGGTTTTTCTAGATCTGTGATCTTCACCATCCTGTCTGGTAGCATTTCCAAGGAGTTCTTTTGCACCTTGTCTACAATTCTTGTGTGCTCACTGGAGGCATTATACTTCCAGTTGCCACTACAAGCCATTCTGTAGGCTGCCATCCTTGCCTCTCCTTTCACAATGATGTCGAGAGGTGGCAGGTTTAGCACTACTTCCAGGGCTGCAGTTGGAGTGCCTCTCATGGCTCCTGTGATGCTAAGGCATGCGACTCGCTGGATCTTTTGTAGTCTCTTTACAGCGGTAGTTTGCATTACCTTGGTCCACCAGACCACCGAGCCATCCACCATCATCGGTCTTGCAACCCTAGTGTATAGCCAGTTAGTCATTTGTGGACTTAGACCCCAGGTCTTCCCAACAGCCCGCCTCATCATCATAAGTGTGGTCTGAGAACGTTGCGTTATATGTGCCAAATGGCTGTTCCAGGTGAGCTTGTCGTCCAGCCTTATTCCTAGGTACTTGAACTCCCTCTTAACCTGGATCTGATTACCGAAGAGAGTTGGTACTCTAGCGATATCAACATTTCTCTTCCTTGTAAATGGTACCATTACAGTCTTCATTGGATTGACCCTCAGACCTTCCTGGTTACACCACCTCTCCACTATGGACAATGCCCTCTGCATGAGTTCCAGGCAAGTGTTCATAAATTTTCCTCTTATTAGTACAACAATATCGTCAGCATATCCTTGAGCGTACATGCCCTGTGCATTGAGCTCGGACAGGAGATCGTCAACCACCAGATTCCACAGATTTGGTGACAAGACGCCACCCTGTGGACACCCTCTTTGGGCCTTGACCTCTCTCACCGTCCCACACAGAGAAGCTTGCGCTCTCCTACTTTCGAGCATGTTGCCTATCCACCTCACTACAGTGCTTTCCACATTTCTTGACACCAGCTTTGATACAATAGAGCGAGTACTGGTGTTGTCAAAAGCTCCTTCTATATCAAAAATGCAGCCACCGCTATTTCCTTGTTCGAGATAGCACTTTCAATCTTACTAACCAGCGCATGCAGGGCTGTTTCGCATGACTTTCCCTTCTGGTAGGCATGTTGGTTCGGATGCAAAGGATGGCTTACCAAGACCCTATCCTTTATTCGTCTATCCACTAATTTCTCCATGGTCTTCAGGAGAAACGATGTACAAGACAACGATGGCCAAGGTTATGTCCAAAACCTCTTCCCTTAGTACCACCCCTCTCCTCTGTCTAAAGGTTGGTTTGGATCCCTTATTAAGTATAACTAAATTAGATTCAGCTACAAAACTTAACAAGCTCTCACCTCTCTCATTGATATTGCTGCTGCCCCAGGCCACATGATGGGCATTGGCGTCGCAGCCCAACAGCAGGTGTTTTTTTTCCCTGGCTCCATATTCGACAACCATCCTCATTTCTCTGGTCGGTGGTGGTTCCTGGGAGTCATATGGCAGGTATACTGAGGCAAGCAGGATTTTGACGTTACCGTCACCCATCTGCCCGTATACCTCGGTCACGGCACAATCCCTAGAACAGAGATTAGTGACTTTCAGTGTCTTAATATTTCTACTGACAAAAATGCAAGCTCTAGGTTTGTCACTGTCAGTATCATATATCAACTCACCTTTTGCGGTGCTCATCCCCATGATTCTGCCTCCTGCGGTCCATGGCTCCTGGATCAGAGCCACGCCTATGCGGCCGGCAAGAATTTTCTGGCAAAGCGTAGCCGTAGCCGCCTTGCTGTGTTGGAGATTTATCTGGAGCACCGCAACCATCCTCTACTTGTGGGGATCCTTGCTCCCATGCAACCTGAAGGTTACCCTCTCGCAGCCCAAGAATGGGCGCATCGCAAGAGACTTCAGCTTCTGCAGGGAGTTTTCGTCAATTATTATGACCAGGAATTGTCCGCTAGGGTTTGAGTTCCCCCCAACGACCGCCCAGTGGTCTGTGTCAAGGTCATTCTGCAGCTTTATGCCCTGCATCACGTCCTTCTTGGTTGTTGCCCCCGTTGTGGTGGGAACAAACACTGATACTTTCACAGCCTTTACAAGTTCTTTGGCTGGGGCAAGCTTTAGCGAGCTGCCCTCAAAGGGGCTCAGCTCCTGAACCTGTTTGACTACTAGGCATCCACCTTCAAGATGGCAGCTGCTTATCCTGACGTCTTTGCCACGAATGGCCCGTCTGGACAGCTCCCCCTTGATTTTGTTGGCTTCAACCTCTGTCAATTTCCTGTCCGGGTGTTCAGTTCTGGCTATTGCCATCTTCTCTACGGACAATGTCTCTGAATATGTGGGTGCCGATGTCCTCTTTGAAACACCGGACCCCTCTCCTTCCTTCCTCCTTGACTTCTTTTTATCACCCCCAGCATCCTCAGGTGTCAGGTGCTCTCGCCCCCTCTTTCCACCCGTCCTTCTAGAGGCTTCAACAGAGTCGGCTTTGGGAGTGCCGCCCTCACCCTGCTTTTTCCCAGCATCCTGGTTCCCAGAGGAACCGGCTTCGCCGGGAGCAGAGTTCGGGTGCTTGGCAGCCCACGCCAGCCTTCTCTCACTTCTAGATAGCACCTTCTCGCCTTTGGCTAGAGCTTCCGCTATCCTTTGTCTTCGTAGCTCTCCCCTGGAAAGTCGTTTGTTTTTTCGTTCCTTTCCAGTTTCCGGGAGCTTGTCATCTTCATCAGATTTTAGTAGGCCTTCCTCCTCCATTAGGGTCGGATCTTCTACATTTACACTAGCAATAGAAGTGCTTTCGACCTGTTGGTCACACTTTTCTTGCTCATCAGTTATGTTTTTGTCAGTTTGCTTACTAACTTTTGTTTGGACATCCATTTTGTTCCCACGAGTACCGGGTATATAAGGTCCACCTCCCCAGTGACCCGATTAGAGAGGTAAGGGGTTCATACGACTGGGTTCCCCCTGGTTCCCAGAAGGCTCCGTTTCTGACACTGAGTATTAGGCCCCCAGTGCCGCAAGGCTCTCAGCACGGGTCGCATTACACCTTAGCCCAGGGCCCGCAATGCTCAGACATAGCTATTGCTATGACTGAACGTCTGGGTGGGCTCCCTGCTCTAAGAGAGGCAAGCCTCATCTTAGACCAGCACGAAACACCCAGTTCTGATGGTGCTGCTGCCCCCCACCAGAGAGTCATTCAGGACTCTAGCCTAGATCCGCCGAGATCAGCGTGACAGGGGCCACGACGTGAACGGTGCAGTCATTGGACTACACAGGCCTGTACTTCATTTTTGTACTGGCCTTCTCGGACGGTCTTGAGCACCATAGATGCCCCTGGGGGAGAAATAGTCCTCGGTTTCAGATATCATTGCAGCCTTAGCTGTCCGAGGGACTACCGCACCCCCTTAACCCCCTATTTTTTCTTATTTTTTTTTTTCTTATTTTGGTCAGAAGCACAATCATTGTTGATTGACATATTGTTGATGTGACGTGATAGTTAAGTTCAGTTAAGGTGGGGTATGAGCCCACTGGGACTTTTCTAACATTTTGTCCTCTTTAGCCTGCAATCTTTTGTTGGGATGCAGACCTATCTGATTGGTATAGAGTCCATTGTGGCTCAGGAAACTCAAAAGCATTCCAAAACGTCAAACAAAACAAGCATATTTTTCTTTTACGGATAATGTTCTTCTTTTATAATACAGGGTGTTTTTAAAAGAATGCTGGGATTTTAAACGGTAATTGCTTGGATACTATTCAAGGTAACTAAACGTTTAATACTCCAAATTGAAGCTAAAATAACTAAGTTTTGTAACCCGTGTGGCAAGGGCCGTGTGGCAACTCTGACTTTGGCATGCGAAAACAGGTGTGGGATGATAGGCCGCTATTGTGACTCATACGCCTGACGCCAGTCGCCAGTAAGACGTTTAAGGCGCAACAGAAGGCAATCATTGTAATCTGTAGTTTGCAGAGTTTATATACATTTCTAAATTAAACTAAATTTAAATCTACTTGATGATAAAGAAACTTGAAGCTGGTTTAATGAGTTGCGTGGCACCGAAGTGTTTTGAAAAGACATTCACCTGGCCGGCTAAAAACAAGCGATGACATAGACGAAGAAATCCAACAATTCTGCATCAGAAGCCCAAAAAAATCTTTTGCTCGATGAAGTCTTCAGTTTAACATACCTAAATTGGACACTTTATGATGTTATCTATAAAAGATAGAGCCTTTGTGCCGAAAAAGATTCAGTTAAGACATCAGACAAACCCGCCGATCGCCCTAACCGTAAAGACTTAGCCAGTTTTACGCTCATATCAGATTGATGAAAATCTGAATTTTATTAAATCATTCCCAATTGTATGAATCAATGAGAAAAAAACTTTATTCTTTTCCCCTCAATTTGACGTTTAAATTGTTTAATTATCTTGAATAGTCACCGAGAAACGACCGTTTGAAAACCCGGCATTCTTTTAAAAACACCCTGTACTTCTTTGAACATGTGTTGTAAATTACTGCTTCACATTCTGTTGTGTTTGCAGCCCTGCTGTGTAGCAGCCTTGAGCTGGACTCTATGTTGGATGAAGAGAACAACTCTAGTGATGAAGACACAACCATAGACACTACAGACACAAGGGCCATCAGGAAACAACTGGAGGGACTGGAGAACATGTACTCTGAGGTAAGTGGCGAGATGCTAGTGGTTCATATAGTGATACTGTTTGATTATTTATTGAACTGAGTAATGTGTCACTGTTGTATGTCACTTTTTTAGACTTTATACATAAACTGATCAGATGTTGGCTGTTGTTTCAAAATTTGGATGAGGTGGAGGGGATGGGATCGCTTCCCCTCAAACCGCCTAAATTTTGAAAACGGAGTTTAACTAGTCATGTTGGCAGGTTTTGAAGCTACTAGGAGTCAAAAAGCAGGCTGGAGGGAGGGGCTACCAACCCTCTGACCCTCGGGTACACAAGCGACGACTGTACGGCAGTCTCAGCTCTCTACCATCGTCTGTCAGCTCTCGGCCAATCAGGGACAAGCGCCGCCACGACCAAGAGCGCAAGAAGGTCAAGGATATCAAGGTATGTTGATTGCTATACGCTTTATGATTCTTTACATTAAGTAACAAGGAATGAACAATCATCATTCACAATCTTGCCTATGAAAAGAGTTCAAGTTCTTAAGTATTTTGATGATATTTTTATTTTTAGTTTACAAAAAAGTTAGTGAACTTTATCTCATGATTACACTGGATAGGCTGTAATGCTATTTGAATATTAGTTTTAATTTGAGCTCTCTGTTCATGGCAGGGTATCAACAAGAGGTTCCAAAGGCTGGAGTCTCATGTGGTGACGTTGGCTCGTAGTGTGGCTCATCTCTCATCCGAGATGAGAACACAACATCTCATGATACAGGTATTTATTATGACAAACTAGTTCTCATAACTAGAGTAGACTTGATGAGAATTGTACAGTTTTCAATTCAATATTGAAACATTTTTGAAAAATAAATCAGTTACAGTTTTTTTGTCATACTGCAGCAAAGACAGCCGTTTTAAATACATGCGTTGCGCATATAAAGTAGCATTTTTACTCTCTAGGGAGTAAAAGTATTTTTAGCCCCTACTGAATAATAAAAAGTGTGAAAAAGTTTTGTGAATTGTATTGTTTTTATCTAAGATTTAAAATTAGGGTAGCTGCCCATTTGTGTGATTGGATTCAATTCAGACTTGTAACCTATTCCATTGTTCCTGGAAAATAAGGGTATTTGCCCAATTCCTGGTACCTAATATTTAATTATTTTATTAAAACCAATGAATTTCCTCTTATTCCTGGTCCTATAGTGCTATTAAAAGTGTCCTACAATCGGCTCTACTTCGGTATCAAAGCTGAACTTCTTGCTTAAGTGAACTTAAGCCTATATAGAGTTGTTGGAAATATGCCTCGTTTGTGTTGGCAATATACATTTTTGGACTAAACTTTTTATAAGTGGTTTACGTTATTTAAAATATTTTTGTTAAAACAGGAGATGGAGGTGATTCGAGGTGAGTTGGCTGCACTGAGGACACAGAGCAACATGGCCACCGCACGGTCGCACTCAATGCCTCGTGCTCTCAACCGCATCAGCGTAGAACAGTCTAACAGCAACCCCGAGCGAGTCAAGAAACTCACAAAGTTTTTTGGTGATGAACCTCCGCTTCTGCGACTCTTCCTCAAGAAGTTAGGGTATGAGGTACGATTGTCGCACTTTACTATGTTGATCGCACTTTGTAGTGTAGGGTTGTTTGATTAGTTTAAATCATGGTAAATTAGTGGATTCTCTATAGGGAAGTAAGATATTGTCGTAGTTGTCATTGGGGAACTAGTTGTGAGGTTTTGAGGTTCCTATTTTGACTAATGATTATATTACAATTGTTTTCTAGGAATAAAACTTTTCTAATATACATGAATATTGTGTTGCGGTAGTTGACTTACCTGAATGAGAAAGCGTAAGGCCCACTTGTGCCAGGATAGCTCTTTACTATTCAGTTAAGCCCGCTGTTCCAACTACAATTATTCTTGATAGTTGCCCTTGCACTATTTTATATCATTAACCTCATTTCTAACATCATATTACAGCTGTTTAAACAATTGCAAAACTGTTTATTGATTATATTTTATCCGAAACATTAAAAACAGGTTAAACATCACAATGTTTTTAACAAAAACTATCTTCCCCTAGATTGTTTTGAATTACCTAGTTGAAAATACGTTTTGAAAACACCAACGTAAACGTGGCTTAGGATATTGATGTTCAAATGAAGAACCACACCTCATAATGACTGCCTGAAAAAATATAATTTGTATTTCTACATTCTAATAAAATATCCCTCTTATAGAAGTACGCCGCGGTGTTTGAAAACGAAAGAATCGGACTAGTGGAGCTGCCGTACCTGACTGAAGAAAGACTTCACAAGCTGGGTATTCCGCTGGGACCAAGGCTGAGAATCATGCAAGAAGCACAACTGGGCTTCCCTGTTCCTGACAATACTTTGTGTATCGTGTAGTACCTGAGAGTAAAACAGTATTTTTGTTGACACTATTCGGCAAGGACAAACAGTATATAACATAATTCCAAGGTGTACCAACCAACCAATCACAAGAACATTTTTATACATTATTCTAAATATGATTGCAGCGTGCGAGTAGAGTTATATGACCCATGTAGCTTTATTGCTGACGGATCAGCTGATTTTTGGCCAGCTGATTTTTGTTAGACTTTGTAATCATGCTAGCTCAACTACGGCTGTAATGTGTACATCAGTCCTGTCAAAATTGAATCAGCTCTCCTCTCGTAATATGGAGTTCTAAGCACAAGTCCAAGTGTTTGTAGCCAAATATTAAGTGTGAGTGTAAGCATTATATTTTTTTGGAGTAGTTTTCTCTATATGCCAAATTCCATAAATTAAGTCTTACTTTCTGTTATTCAATGAAAACATTATCATTTGTTCTTTTAGATAAGTTTTCTTTCTTCTAAAATTCGATTGATTAAATTAATGATTGAAAAAAATCAAGTTAAAAAATAAAAAATCATAATAGGCTATTTATGTTAATATTATCTAAATTTATTTGTACATTTCTATTGTTTATTAATACCATGGGACCAAAGATTTCATGTATTACACAGTTTTGCATTAAGTGTAGTTCTAAATGTAAATAGTTCAGTGTAAATAGATAATTCAGTGGCATTCAATAAGAAGTGTTTATAAACTAATATATGTCAAGTCTTCTAAGCTGTAAATATTCTACTATGGTCGGTCATGTAAATAGAGATATATTAGAAATAGTTTGTTAAATAGTTGTACGTATATTGAAAACTGATTATTTAAGTGCCAATAAAATCAATGTGCTGGCCAAATAACTTTTTTTGTATGAAACTCACAAGAAATATATTTTGTGCAATCTATAATATGTTTATTTATTTTACTTTACATTTCGCTCTGGTAACATTGGATTTTCTTTATTATTTGATGAGAGTTAGAGGGTATTTGAAGCAGCATTGTCGATGGAAATCTTCCTCGTCCCATAACTTCCATCTGATTTGATGAGTTGTCTGGAACAAAAAAGCAAAAATTTTTATACACAAATATTTGTGTTTAACAAACAAGTTTGGGGGTTATTTAATTGGTGTTAATGCCTTTTTAATATACTAAATTATTAGGTTTTTAAGCATTACGAAATTGATTCTAAACAAATTACAATATTTTGTTTTTTGAGGGTAAAAATAACACCATAAAACCCTGTTCCTAAGATACAATCATGCCGTTTCAAGAACTAATTTGAATAAAAACAGGTTTAAACTTTGTACCAAATTTGACCAAAATTGAATGATAAATCGAGTTATGCCTGCGGATACATGTAATAGCGTTTTTGGTCTCAGAGGACATCAAAATAAAAATGCAAATCGGTCAAGGGTCTAGGTCTTGTTATAAAACCTACAGCAAGAGCTTCTTCCCTGGGGAAATTCACTATAAGTACAGTGATCCAAAACATAATTCTTACCTTGATAATTTTACAGGTGCTTATATATAATTCGGTCACCAGTTGTGTAATCAAATATAAAACATTTTGTTTATTTTTATAAAATGATTTTTTTGCTGAATAAATTTTTCCCTTCCTGTGATTTCTAGTTAGGCTGACGGGGTCAAGAGTACAAGATAACCTCAAAGTTGTTTGCCACTGATAGCCATGAATAAATTATATAACATTGAAATTAATCGAGTAAAATTATCAAACAGCAGTAATACCACTATCTACTCTTTATTTGTAAATCTTCATCTTTGTTAGTAATATTCAAAAAGGTATCTGAAGACCTTTAATATTGGGTGTAAAAATACTAACTAGTTCATCTATGCCTGAACTATATTTTTCACACCTTTAGAATCCAATACACTTCTAATGTTTTTCCTATTCTTATGAAAATTAAAATAAAGTCATCAACATTCCCAGGTTTTACGTATGCCACATCAACAACTTCTATTTTAATGTCCAGTATCTGTAATTCATTAACAATATTAGCCAACCAGTTGTCTTATCTGTTGATTTTGCTGTATCTTTGAGGTCAGATAAGTATTATAAAGATGAAAGATCAAGTTAGTTTTGACCTCAAACAAGACAGGCTATTACATTTCCAACCCAATTTTATGAACCGATTGTCTTATTGTAGCTTAAACAACTTCTTGCAACCATGATAATATTTTTATTATATATATGCATTTATTCCTAACCATAAATTTACTTGTTGAATACGTATCAACATCACATAATCCTTTCTTCTTTCGTAAATTATTTTATAGAAAATTGCAATTATCTTTTGACTTGGTAAAATAATGTCAATTAATTCATATTCAAAAGCATGATATTTCGCCTCTTTGTTCATAACAAAAAAGAAAATACAATAAAAATGTTTCAATATGTATGTATTTTATTAACAATACATATATCAATGTCTTATTTTTACTTGCAAATAATAAATATTTGTCAAATGTAAGTACATTGTGATTAGGAAAATTTACAATATCTTGAATCCAATATAAAGTGTAAAATTAATTAACAAGTTTGATGGGAATCTTAAAACAGCATTGTTGGTGGAAGTCATCTTCATTCCATAACTTAAACTTGGTAGGATGCGTGCCCTGAAACAGTAAGAAATTGTAAGATTAAACAGGCTATAAGTCTGGACGTATTAAAAATTAAGTACTAAACATACTCATAAAAAAATAGATGTCGTTGCAATTACAGCAAATTTCAATAATTGACAGACGTAGGTTAAGTTTGTCTAAGGTGCCTAATGTCTGTTTTTGAATTTCACTATAATGAAACACCCAGTAACCCCTGATTTTTGTTCATTTGACATGTTTGTGGTTCCATACATTTTTCGGAGAAGGAGTCCTGGTAGCACAGTGGTTTTAGTGTTCGCCTTGTAATCAAAATGTCGCCTGTTTGATCCTGAGAAAAGTGTGTAGCTTTGTTCAAAACTGGACCCAGCTGTTCTTGTTTTGTATATTGGGCTTTTAGTTTCAATAAATGGTCCTGACTAAGGATCAGCTGGTCGTAGTCAGTAACAAAGCTACACAAGACATCACACTCCAATCTAAAATCATATATAACTTATTTTGGGTTAAAACACGCACATAGGTGGCATCCCCATTCCAAATTATAATGACAGTCTAGTTTACTTAATGAAAAAAATTGTGTTTTATAAATCGGTTTGACATGTATTTTATATTTTTCAATGTTCCAATATAGTTAGTTGGCCTTGTATAGGATAGGATATATAAAAGATTATATAACAAGAAACCACCCTTTACAAGTTAGTTCTGCCCCTAATAGCACGTGCAACGAGCAAAAGAAATAATAAAGACAAAGTTAACACTGTACTACACTGGTTTTTCTAACAATTAGTTGCATACTTACCACAAACAGTCCACAACACAACTCAACACAAACATCACAAAACAAGTCCAGAAACAGAAACCCACATGCTTTTCACCACAGCACCATAAACACTATCATTTTTGAATGTTGATGTCAGTATTTTGGGATAAATAACAACCCATAACTGATTATAACAAACACCCACAACACATCAAATCGTTGATGTTCCTGAAAATAAAATGCACCACTTTTCTTCTCTTCTTGTTGACACTACACATTTGTAAATTTAAACATTAAACTCTATTAGCAGACAATTTTTTTAGAAGCCAATAAACTGTAATTAAATCAGTGAAATCATTAATGCCTAATTATTTTTAAATGCCAATTAGTTATCATTCAACTAACAAATATCCACAAAACATGTCCACTGCCATACAATTGACTTCTAATAAATATTTGTTATGCAAAATTAGAGAGAAAATATTATTTACGAGTAATGTATTTATTTAACACTTGTTGAGCTCCAGTAACCCAGATTTATAAACATTGAACTGACTAAATTATTCCCTTTGTAATAATGGTTAGGATTGTTCAAGAGATTATGATTATGATTATGATTATAGTATATTTCATGGCTATACTATAATTTGAAAGTAGTAATTTTCTTACCACAGGGAATTGTTTTTCAACTTGCAGAGCGAAAGTGTAAGTTTGACGCTTGTTTTCTTCAATAGGACAAGTTGTGTACTTGCATCCGTTGGTGTCCATGTTCTCAAAACCTATGTCGACCAAAGTTCCTACTTTGAAAGCTTGACTTCCAGCTTTTGACGTACCCCAATCTGGAAATGTTTGAAGTATTTATATTTACTGCGATATAATTGTAGATAATAACTAATTAGCTTTACTTCTGCGTTGCAATGGAGTTTAAAACTATTAAGCTAATCACTTTTAGAAATGATCCCTTTATGCTGCAAAAACCATATATTGCTTATTGGTTATAGAATTTCATACGTTTTCTATAATCAATGGTATTATTATTAACATAACCGCATATTTAACAAATTAATCTACTTATGAGTTTTGTCATCATCTGATTTTCAGTGTGTAAATAATTGTGTAAATAATTTGTGTAAATAACTGAGAGAATTGGCAACATCGTTTTGGCGAGACCAAGTACGGTACCAGCTTAGGTACAAGTGGCCACGGCAGTAAGCAGTAAGTATATTAATAAGTAATATTTGACATTATTCAAATGCTGTATTATGTACACTTCAACGAATAGATACTTTAGGCCCCGGCCACACGAGGCGAATTTAAGCCGCGCGGCTTATCTTCGCGCGAAGTTAAGCCGCGCGAAGTGCCTGGCCACACGGGGCGGATGAACCGCTTCCTGTTGGGGTTTCCCAGTATCAGTACTCTATTAAAACATAGTTCAGTTCACTCTTTTTAGTCATGGGGAAACACTTATGTTAGTTTGTGCATTAAAAGCGTGTGGTGATCTGGAACGTTAACATAAATCATTGGGTCCATCCCTTCATAACGGAAAAACAATTTTTTGTGTTCCAAACCTTTTACGAGCACATTCGAAACCATAGTTCGGAGTTCATATGTATCAAACATTGTTTGAACACCACGCAACCGGTAGAAAATACACAAAACAAACTCAAAAACCACTGGAAATGTCCGAAGAATATCTCCAATAAGCGCGGCTGCCGCGCGGTCGAACCGTATCGTATGGCCACTCTCATAAGACTAATGTGTCATCCCCTCCAACGCGGCTTAACTTCGCGCGGTCGGGGGACGACATGTTGCGGCTCAACCGCACATGCGGCTAAACTTCGCCTCGTGTGGCCACTCTCATTTGATTCAATGTGTTGTCGAAGCCCTTAACTTCGCGCGGTTAAACCGCCTCGTGTGGCCGGGGCCTTAGAATTAAATTAGAGAAACTTTCTAACCAAGGCAACTTGATACAATTACTTGCCTAGTGTAACCTACAGTAATAAGAGATACTAGGTATGCCACATTAACTATCTCAATAGGTAACAGAAACGAAGGGTGAAAATTGAATTTTAGGCAGTTATTCAACAGAATAACAGTTATTATCTTCAGTACTTAGGCTTATTCAACTATGGTATTTTATATATAGGATCCAAAGCCAGCTTTCCATCATTCGAGCAGTTTCGCTTAGGCTACGGGGAACTAGACGAATAATTCGAAGCATTCAATTTGAAGATGGTGCCGCAATTCCCCCATTGTTCTATTGTTAACATAATTAATTATGTAATGGCCATTAGTTATGTCTGTAAAATGTTATGTTTACATTTTTTTACTATGGTATTTTTAACAAAACTATTGATTACAGCTGAGCTAAATAAATTAAAGGTCCATAAATGGGATGTCTGCGTCAGCATCCAAAGTCAATGATGCCATTGACTATTGGATGCTGACGTACACATCCCATCTATATGGACCAGCTGTCGCCAATGTTTTATAAAAAATGAACGTAGTCGTGTGAGCCAGTCAGAATGTGTTAGTGTCTAAAATTCTATTTTCTGCCTAATTTTTTGTTGCTGATACAGTTCATGGGTCAAAGTAGTTGCTATAGCTCGCAATAAGTTTTCTATCAGTGTGAATTATTTAAAAAAATAGTGTATTCGACAGAAATAAGTAATTTAGATCAGCCCAAATTTGTTGGTGGTGGATCACATCAACTACAACAATTTTTATTTAAAAAACTGGCGACAACTTTACCATGTGGATGTATAGTTGTATCAATAGTCAAAGGTAGCACTGTACTCACTTGGAGTGTACTCGAAGGAGAGAGTTGCATTTGTTCCCAACTTGATTTTACATGGTTTGTCTTCAGCAGCCTCGGGACAAGGGTCGATCTTCACCTCATGCACGATACAGTTGGGGGATTGGCCTCCTGCAAATATTTGAAAATATAACAATCTTGTAGAAATGCCTCAGCTCTGGGTACTTAGGGGTTGTACTTGTTTTCCTTTTTTAGCGAATTTCCCATATAGGGAATAAGCTATTACCGTAGGTCTCAAGGTTAGACCTGGACCCGGGACCGATACATTTTTCATTTTCATTTCCCCAGAGGCCAGAAACACCATTCGTTTAAATTTTTGTGTACCAGTAAGATCGGATCATGGGAACGGGGTTTTATGGGGTAAAAATTGGTTACCTCATTTTTAACCCTCAAAACAAAAAATCTCCCAATTTCTCACAAGAACTTTATGTTTGTGTAACATAATTCATATGTTACACAAGACCATTTTGAAGAGCTTAAAAAACAAAAAATAATTTAAATAATTTAAAATAAAAATGGAAATTTGCTTAGTCTGTAGATTTGCTGCAGCGGGGGTATTTTGAGGAATCTACTGTGTTCTTATTTTCCAGGTATGTTCTTGGTCTGTAACAAAGTTATCAATCACACTATTCTTCAACATAACATTTATCTTTGTTTTAAAATATGCACCCAGTGTGATATGTTTAGTGGAACCTCAAATTTATAGTAACTTCCTTGATTGTGAAAATCTTAACTTAGAACCTATTAAGATTTTATGGCCGATTGGGGTCCATGTTGGCTATCCTGCTAACTCGCCTGTTATATTTTTTGTTTCTGCTGACTTTAAAATTCAAGGTCAGAAGATAAAATCATTTTATTAACCAAAAAAGTTCGAGTTCGGTTGTAATGGGAAACTTATGATTTTTTATCAAATGTATATAATGAAATTGATATATCCTTATTTATTAATCTCATACAAAATATATATATTATTTTTGTGAGTCATATTAAAATACACTATACTATACTATATTATAGTATCGTATTTGGTGAGTCCGTAGTGCCATGAACTCTGGGCCCAAGGCAGCGATGTCGTGGGTTCAGATCCTGGTCACTGTCACAACTTTTTATCAGTAAAGCTCATACCCTTGTACTGTACCCTCACCCCTTACTTTGGTGGATATGTTTCACGCACAGGCATCCGTGCTTACGGGGCAAATACAAGGGAAAAGAGGCCGTCAACTTAAAAGTATGATTTTTTTTGTACAATTTATAAATAAAGAGGCTGTAAGCTGTCGTTAAGTTTTTTCACTATACAAATCAAATACAATACTACTCTCTATTTTCCCCTGAAACAAATTATATACAGCAAGTTACAATATAGTAGGTATAACTTTCAAATAATATTTTTTTATTAATTTATCTATTTATAAAATTTACATTCATACTGCAGCAAATTTGCTGGCATTAGCGAAGCAGCAGCTCCAGAGTTAAATTTTCCTAAATAGTAGGCCTATAGGAGGCGTAAATAATATTTTATTTTATTTGATCATGAAAACTCTTTTTTGGACATTTTGCCATTTCAATACTATTTTGTCAATACAGTACTGGAGTATTGACTATTCTAGAAAACTGGGATTCATGAAAATCCTTATTCAGTAAAAAACTAGACTCACTACTAAGAAAATGTTCTTTTTTACATCCCAATTCTAGATTTGAAACAAAAGCATTTTTTACCAACTAGAAAAATTATATAATAATAATGCGAGCTGGCTACCTATCCTAATTGCAATGTTTTACTTACCGGGAATGTAACATTTCTGAGTTTTGATTACTTCACTGTAAGCTAAGCCACAGATGGCCAACAGCAACAAAGGTTTGAAACACTCCATGGTCACTGAGCTATCAGATAGTACTGAATTGAGCAGAGCAGCCTTTGGTCAGCTGATGTCAGATGTCAGTCTGTCAATACAGCTAACAGCTGCACTTTGCCCCAATGAGGATGTCATAGATTAAAAGCTGCCTTGGCTACTACATGTCTCAATAGTCAAGGTTTTGCTTTTTACCTTGTCTCAGGAACATGTTGATAAAGTGTTCTTGAATGAGTTGTTTGTTAAATGTTTAATTAATTTTAGTCTTAGTTTTTAGTAGGTACCCTACAAATATGGGGTGAAACATATTATTTTGTTAATGGTAAAAGGTATTCATGGCCCCGAATATAAATTTGTTAAATCTATCAAATCGATTATAAAACCATTTGCTTTATGTAAAATATATTTAGCCATTTTTTAGACCTTTTAGCCTTCCTCACCACTGGACTGTGAGGTTTTTATCCTTAACTTAATTGAACCATTATATTTTCTCAAAATAGATTAGTTTACTTCATTTAATTTAGAGTTATGTATTCAGAAAAATATATAAACAACAACCACTTGTAGAACTTTCTGAACTTATAAAAACGAGCTAGTGTCAATGTTTTCATTTAAGTTCATTTTTGTACAACTAATATGCTTTTAGCGAATTTCCTATATAGGTAGTGCTATTACCGTAGGTCTCATGGTAAGATCTACACCCGGGACTGATTTACTTTTTGTTTTGAGGTCTCCAGAGGTCAAAAATACCATCTATCCAGATTCAAAAATGTATTTGGCCAGGTGATCAGATAAACCCGCGGATCGCCCTAAGAGTACAGACTTTAGCTAGTTTTTCCCTCATATAATATATTGATGTAAATCTGAATTTTATTAAATTACTCCGAATTGTATCAAAGTATAAGAAAAACTTTGTTCTTTTCCCTTCAATTTGACGTTTAAATAATTTAATTATCTTGCATAAATAGAGCTATTACACCCCCTAATGTGTTGGGAGTTGATCGTAAAATTGCATAATTATGTAAAAAGGAAATACCATTCTGGTTGAATGTGTACTGGGGTAACTATAGGATTAGCGGGGGTAAAGTTATGAATAGTTCCCGACTGTTAGGGGGTTGTGGGGTAAAAATTGGGTTTTCCCATTTCTTACCCAGAAAACATACAATTTCACAACTTCTCTTCAAAGCGTTTTGTAGAGCTTAAAAAAATAAATAATTTAGTATGTTGAAGCATTGTTGTATAGTTATTGATTACAGATAAAATTCAAATAATTGTAAATTTCCCATGTTATTTTTATTGAGAAAAAATAAATTGTTGTATAGTTTCCTTGTTTATGGATATATTTTGATCAAACTTCTTGTCAAACCTATTTATTTTATAGGTACTAAGCTTAATCAATAATTATACATTATACATGTGTAAATATGTGTGTTATTATATTTATACATGTCTATATTGCTACGCTAATAATGACAGGATGATAAAAAAATATATAAATAAAAAAATCTTATGTTATTCATATGGAGAATAAATTAACTGTTTGTTTGCTTGCTTATGGATGTATTTTTGTTTAATGAAAATTTGATTTTTTTATTTCACGCAAAACTATCAAAATTGCAATAAAAACACATCTCATTACCTTCCCTGTAACAGCAAACCTAAGTACCATTAAAATTAACGATTTTTAATCCTACTAATATTATAAATGAGAAAGTTTGGATGGATGGATGTATGGATGTATGTTTGTGACAAGTGAACGCGAAAAATACTGGTCGGATTGGGCTGAAATTTGGCATGATGATAGCTCACATTCCCGATTAACATATAGGCATATTCTTATTTCAAAAATCCTTTCGGGCTCCGCCCCAGTGGCTCTGGAGTTTCCCATGTTAACCTTATGAGAAATGAAATTATTGAATCTTAACAGCTGTTTCAATTAAACAAGTTGGTTCTGTTCTGTGATGTTCAATAGCATTAAAGTCACAAAAATTACCAACAGGGTGCAGCACTATTATTTCTTTTACATTTATGACAACAGCTAATTTGCAACCAAAAGGTGAGTGAGCGTAGTGAACGAACTTCAACCTGGAGGCGAGTTAGCGTAGCGAACGAGCTATCCTGAAGGCAAGTGAGCGCAGCGAACGAGCTCCAACCTAAAGGTGAGTGAGCGTAGCGAACGAGCTCCAACCTAAAGGTGAGTGAGCGTAGCGAACGAGCTCCAACCTAAAGGTGAGTGAGCGTAGCGAACAAACTTCAACCAGGACGTGATTGAGCCATGCGAACAAGATAATCTTGAAAATTAAGAAGTTAAACGGGGCAAAGCCCGCGGGTTACAGCTAGTTATATAATAAATCTGACAACTTTAAGGAAATAATTTAGTGGAATTGAAACCTGGTAAATGGAAATCCGCTTAGTCTGCAGGTTTGCTGCAGCGGGGTTAGGGGTTGGTTTTGCTTCCAATCTCTATTCCTGCTAAACAGAAACACACACCTTAAATTAGTGTATACCCATGGTGTATACCTACATCAAAAATGTGTCTTTACAAATTTACAATAAGATGTGCCGCATGTATAATGCGGTCATGGAACCGGTAAAACTTCATGGGTGAAATGGTGAATTTTTTTTTCTTAAAAAAAAGGGCAAGTCTAGGCATGTCCTACTGTATGTTGGATCAAACCAAAGAAACAATAAAAACAAGGAAACAATACATAACTTCCGGTTCCTGGTACAGCTATCAACAATGAATCACAGTCACTGGCACTAAAACGTATCTACATCGAATTCCTGGAATTGATATCAAACTAAACCGAAATACAACGAATAAAAAGGATGATAAACTGACGAAGGGAAACTGCGTTTTCCCATGAATACAAAGAAAGCTGCGGATGCGATACAGTATCGCACATTGTGTGTTCGCTATCGCATAGATAAGCGCACACCTGCTCACCAGATAAAACCTACTCCCTTAGTAAATTTCCCATGCTTATTGAACAGCTGAAGCCAGTTTTATTGGTAGTTCTGTCCGGTGCACTGTTTGTAGAGGTTGTGTTTTATTTACAATTTCTTTCCTGTTGTTTTAGTACGCCTTTCAAACCAAATAAATTGATTGAATCATAAACGATAACTCGTCGTCTAGTTACTAACAGTAAAACACAAATCATTAAATTAACTCTAAAAAAATAGGAACAAAATGTCGTCGATACTTATAGCAATCTGTGTCAACATTGCAAAACTAACTGTTGCTGAAGTTATCAGCTGTTATTTTTCGTGAATTTTTGTCTGACTGACTCTGAACCTCAATCTCTGTTGACCAACAACCAAGTCGAGTTTTGGTGGGATTTTACTTTATCAGTTTACATCGTGATTATAAGTTGTAAAATTCTAAATGTTTAGTTTAGATGATATTTATTATGCGTTGAATGAAATGTGACATTACTTTCACAATAACCTTGAGACGATAGTTTAGCCGGTTTTTGCTAACCGGACTGTTTACCAACTATGCGAATACCGCGGGTGTGACTGTGACTTTATCATATCTTTGAACCATGTCTCATGTCATATTAATCACAGTAGTTGTTTGAAAATTTGTACATATTTAGTTTGCAAACTGTTCTTGTGCATAGAAAGACTAACTAAATTTGAGGTTTGGGACATTAAATTTAGCACTGTTTTGAAACATTTCGTCATAGTGACGAATATTTGAAGGGTTTTATATGGTTTTATTCGCTACTAGCAGAGTACCCGTCCTCCGTACGGGGTTGGCATATAAGTATAAAATGCTTATTGCAGTTATACTCAAGCTTTGCGTTTGCAATGGGAGAGGACACAGTTTCATAAAATTTGCTTCTTTAAATTCACGGTATATTTATAGTATTACACATCTACCATAGGCATAATGTTCTACCACTTCACCTAAACAAAAGAGAAAAATAAGTTATTAAAATTTTTTAGAATATCACAAATTATTCATGAAGTCAAAAACATTAAGATAACTGTAAACAATCCTACTTTGACAGTTCTCAATGTGTATCACAGTTTTTTGTTACTGCTTAGTTCAAATTAGCTGTTTTCATAAATGCAAAAAATAATAGTGATGCACCCTATTGGTAAATCTTATAACTTTAATGCTTTTGCATATGATAGAACCAACATTTTTAGTTGAAACAGCTGGCTAAATTCTTTAATTCCCTTTAAATATGAATACTCATAAGGTTAACATGGGGAACTAAAGAGCCACTGGGGCGGAGCCCGAAAGGATTTTTGAGATAAAAATATGTCTCTATGTTAATCGTGAATGTGAGCTATCATCATGCCAAATTTCAGCCAAATCCGTCCAGTAGTTAATGCGTGATTGAACTTCAAACAAACAAACAAACAAACAAACAAACACACAAACTTTCACATTTATAATATTAGTAAGATATTAGCCTATCGTGGTCAGTGAACAAACGATTTGATCGCCACATTAAAAAGGCACAGCAGCTTTTTATATAAAACATTAAACATTTATTTATAGGTGAATAAATTCACTTTAATGCTATATAGTTGGTATTTGGGGTTTTTGTATTTGAAAAATAATATAAATCAAAATGTTTGAATAACTAAATGTTTTTTGTATAAAATATAACCATTCAATGATGATTATGATTATGATGATTGATGATGATGATGGGGTTAATGATCTTTTTTTATCAACAACTCATACTTCTTAGATCTCCAATGTTTTTGCCTTTACAAAAATGTGTACTTTTACTACATTTCTTCATTCTTGAGAACACATTTCGGTTTTCGTTTGAAATTTGTAGCGGAAATCATTAAATTTGTCATATTTTTTCTTTTAGGTCATAACTTTTAAAACAAGATGGTAGTCGATTTTTTTTTTACATTTCCATGTCGGGAAATAAATACCAAACATTTTGTATAGCCTATCTGGAATTTCATATTAAGAATATTTCTTTCAAAATTAAAAAGTAAATTAGGCCTTGTCATACTGTCTAAATTTATTATGTTACCATTTTAAAATTTGTAATTCAATTGCGAAAATTCCAGTACAGTATACGGGTTTGGTTCCATTCCACTCCACTG